GTCACAAGTGCTATCACCAATCATTGCAACACTCTTTAACAAATCCATTGAATCCTCCACCTTCCCTACAGTTACTCAAAATAGCAAGGGTCACCCCGATCCACAAAGGAGGAGACCAAACAGAGTTGAATAACTATAGGCCAATATCCAACTTACACCCTCTCTCAAAAATCTTCGAAAAATTAATTCATAAACGAATCTACTCCTACCTTATCTCCCAAAACATACTCAACCCCTGCCAATTTGGATTCAGGCCTAATAAAAATACTAATGATGCTATTATACACATGCTAGAACATATATACACTGCAATAGAGAAAAAAGAAGTCCCACTGGGGATCTTCATTGACTTACGTAAAGCTTTTGATACAGTTGACCATGACTTGCTCCACGTAAAATTGTCACACTATGGTATAAGAGGGCACTCCCTCAACTACCTCAAGTCATACCTCAGCAACAGAAGCCAATATGTGTACGCAAATGGGGCAAACTCTTCTGCACAACCAATTACAGTTGGTGTCCCACAGGGAAGTGTCCTTGGCCCTCTTCTCTTTCTCCTATTACATAAATGACCTACCAAATGCTTCACAATTACTCAAACCCACACTATTTGCTGATGACACAACATACGTCTTCTCCCACCCGAGCCCAGTCACGCTAGCCAATACTGTAAATACCGAATTACAGAAAATATCTACCTGGATGAGTACTAACAAACTTACACTAAACATTGACAAAACCTACTTCATTCAGTTTGGTAACAGAGCTACAGATGTCCCTCTTAACATAATGATAAACGGATCACCTATCACAAAGCTAACAGAGGGAAAATTCTTAGGAATCCACCTTGATAATAGACTCAAATTTCATACACATATACAACAAATTTTAAGAAAATTTCCAAGACTGTAGGCATACTATCGAAGATACGGTACTATGCTCCACAGTCAGCCCTCCTGGCCCTATATCACTCTCTTATTTACCCTATCTCACCTATGGAATTTGTGCATGGGGCTCAACAACAAGTAACCATCTCAGACAACTAATTACCCAACAAAAGGCTGCAGTTAGAATGATAACAAATTCTCACTACAGGCAGCACACTCAACCAATATTCAATACACTCAACCTACTCACCATACAAAACATCCATACTTATTACTGCACCTATTACATACATAGAACACTCAACTCTGATATTAACCCTCCCCTCAAACATCTCCTTGCCAACCTCAACAGAACACATGACCATAACACAAGGCACAGATCACTCTTTGATATTCCTCGTGTCCATCTCACGCTATGCAAAAACTCAATGCACATAAAGGCCCTAAAATCTGGAATTCATTACCTGTAAATATAAAAGAAACACTACCTGTTTATAAATTCAAGTCTCTTCTCAAAGATCACTTACTCACCCAAAACCAAATAAATACTGAATAATGAACCTTATAAATTGTATATCTTAAATGTTTCTCACAATTATATCACATAAATGTTAAACCTAAAACCCAATCTAACTTTATTATTTTTTAAATACACTACCTAACAGAATACTCCATTCTACTGAATTTATAACAATGCATGCAACCATATGACCTGTCTTTGTAATACTCACTTGTGCTTTATAGTAATCAGTTTACATTAATGTTTTTCACTGATTTCATCATTGCTTAGTTAATCTTAAGTTAATTTTAAGCCAGCCCGTAATGCTATGCATAGTATAAGTGGCTTTGGCATGCTGCTCTTATCTGTATTTTTTTTGTACCTCTGTAAGTGTGCTCAAATTATAAATAAATAAATAAAAATAAATAAATAAATAAAAACAATACATAATGCATAATGATGGAGTTGATAGAGTTAAACTGCTGAAACATAAATGAATGGAATGATTGAAACAAAAAAAGAAGGAAAGGAAGAAAAACAGACTGAAAAAAGGAAAGAAGGAGCACTGCAACAGGCCTACTGGCCCATGCTAGGCAGGTCCAAGTCCCCTACTGGCCCATGCTAGGTAGGTCCAAGTCACCTACTGGCCCATGCTAGGCAGGTCCAAGTTACCTACTGGCCCATGCTAGGCAGGTCCAAGTCACCTACTGGCCCATGCTTGGCAGGTCCAAGTCACCTACTGGCTCATGCTAAACAGGTCCAAATCACCTACTGATCCATGCTAGGCAGGTCCAAGTCACCTACTGGCCCATGCTAGGCGGGTCCAAGTCACCTACTGGCCCATGCTAGGCAGGTCCTAGTCGCCTACTGGCCCATGCTAGGCAGGTCCAAGTCACTTACTGGCCCATGCTAGGCAGGTCCTAGTCACCTACTGGCCCATGCTAGGCAGGTCCTAGTCACCTACTGGCTCCTGCCAGGCAGGTCAAAGTCGTACCCACTCACATCCACTCATGTATTTATCTAACCTTATTTTGAAGTTACACAAGGTTTAAGCTTCAATGACACTACTCGGGAGTTTGTTCCACTCATCCAGAAACTCGATTACCAAACCAGTGCTTTCCTATATTCTTTCTAAATCTAATTTTTTCCAACTTGAACTTATTGCTGCGAGTCCTGTCTTGATTACATATTTTTAGTACATTATTTACATCCTCTTTATTTATTCCTGATTTCCAATTATACACCTCAGTCATATCATCCCCCTAATTCTACGACTTTCTAGAGAGTGCAGGTTCAGGATCTCGGTCTATCCTCGTAGGGAAGATTTCTGATACATGGGATCAACTTTGTCATCCTCCTCTATACGTTTTCCAGAGCATTTATGTCCATTCTGTAATACGGTGACCAGAACTGAGCAACATAGTCTGAATGAGGCCTAACCTGAGGACTCTTGTTATTTATACTTCTTGATATGAAGCCAAAAATTATATTCGCTATATTACGAACACTAATGTTCCGTTGTCTTGGTTTTAGATTACTGTTAACTAAAAAACAGGTGGGGATATAGTTTTGGAGTAGTTGGTGCTATTATTTAATAAATGTATGGAAGAGGGTAAGGTACCTAGGGATTGGCAGAGAGCATGCATAGTTCCTTTGTATAAAGGCAAAGGGGACAAAAGAGAGTGCAAAAATTATAGGGGAATAAGTCTGTTGAGTATACCTGGTAAAGTGTATGGTAGAGTTATTATTGAAAGAATTAAGAGTTACACGGAGAACAGGATAGCAGATGAACAAGGAGGCTTTAGGAAAGGTAGGGGGTGTGTAGACCAAGTGTTTACAGTGGCATTTATGGATTTGGAAAAGGCATATGACAGGGTAGATAAGGGTGCAATGTGGCAGATGTTGCCGGTGTATGGTATAGGAGGTAGGTTACTGAAAGCAGTGAAGAGTTTTTACGAGGATAGTGAGGCTCAAGTTAGAGTATGTAGGAAAGAGGGAAATTATTTCCCAGTAAAAGTAGGCCTTAGACAAGGATGTGTGATGTCACCGTGGTTGTTTAGTATATTTATAGACGGGGTTGTAAGAGAAGTGAATGCTTGGGTGCTGGCAAGAGGCGTGGAGCTAAAAGATAAAGAATCAAACACAAAGGGGAGTTGTCACAGTTGCTCTTTGCTGATGACACTGTGTTTTTGGGAGATTTTGAAAAGAAGTTGCAGAGGTTGGTGGATGAGTTTTGTAGAGTATGTAAAAGAATAAAATTAAAAGTGAGTATAGGAAAGAGTAAGGTTATGAGGATAACAAAAAGATTAGTTGACGAAAGATTGGATATCAGATTGGAGGGAGAGAGTATGGAGGAGGTGAATGTATTCAGATATTTAGGAGTGGACGTGTCAGCAGATGAGTCTATGAAGGATGAGGTGAATCATAGAACTAATGAGGGGGAAAGGGTGAGTGGTGCACTTAGGAGTCTGTGGAGACAAAGAACTTTGTCCATGGAAGCAAAGAGGGGAATGTATGAGAGTACGTATAATTGTACCAACACTCTTGTATGGGTGTGAAGCATGGGTGATGAATGTTGCAACGAGGAGAAGGCTGGAGGCAGTGGAGATGTCATGTCTGAGGGCAATGTGTGGTGTGAATATAATGCAAAGAATTCGTAGTTAGGAAATTAGAAGGTGTGGGATTACTAAAACTATTATCCAGAGGGCTGAAGAGGGGTTGTTGAGGTGGTTCGGACATGCAGAGAGAATGGAACAAAACAGAATAACTTTGAGAGTGTATAAATCTGTAGTGGAAGAAAGGCGGGGTAGGGGCAGGCCTAGGAAAGGTTGGAGGGAGAGGGTAAAGGAGGTTTCGTGTGCGAGGGGCTTGGACTTCCAGCAGGCATGCGTGAGCGTATTTGATAGGAGTGAATTGAGACAAATGATTTTTAATACTTGACGTGCTGTTGGAGTGTGAGCAAAGTAACATTTATGAAGAGATCCAGGGAAACTGGCAGGCCGGATTTGAGTCCTGGAGATGGGAAGTACAGTGCCTGCACTCTGAATGAGGGGTGTTAATGTTGCAGTTTTATAACTGTAATGTAAAGCACACTTCTGGCAAGACAGTGATGGAGTGAATGATGGTGAAAATTTTTCTTTTTGTTAATAAAAAAATAAAAAATTTAACTCTTTTTTTGCAGTGATTAGAGTCTACATGATGTAGTTTATAAGTGCCTTGTTTATTTTCCTTTCCTAAGCTTAGAACTGAAGTCCATGATACAATAAGTAATGATGAGAGGTCAAGGTGTCCCGTAGCTGGGTTGGTAGCGCATTCAGCTCACACACTGAAGTCCGTGGTTTGATCCCCAGTACGGATATAAACATTAAGACACGTGCTGTCCCTGTTCATCTAGCAGTAAGTAGGTACCTGGGTGTTAGTCGACTAGTGTAGGTCTCATCCTGGTACCAAATTAACCTAAGTTGCCCAAAATATTTTGCATAACCAGGGGCTTTCTATATAGTAGTATGTCACTGATGTCAGCTATGGGATGTATAAGTTGTATCATGCACTTGCCTGTAGCACTGAGCATTTGCTTATAGCACTAGGCACTTCCCTGTGGCACTAACACTTGCCTGTACTGACACCGAAGATGAACCTGGAGACCATCATGGCGTAGTATGGTCCCATCTCTCCCATATTCTTGAAGACAGCCAGGAGAGCGTACATGATGTTCCCTACCATGAACATCACTACTGATGTTATACTGGCAGCCCTGGTAATGAACATTATTATTATTATTATTATTATTATTATTATTATTATTATTATTATTATTATTATTATTATTATTATTATTATTATTATTATTATTATTATATTATAGTACCAAACTGTAGCTAGTGTTACGATGACACAGTCAGTGAAGTTTTTGGTCCTGAGGCCGAATCTCACCTGATGGAACCGGTCTTGTTGGCCCAGAGGCCCAGGGCAGGTGCTGCTAACATCTGTCCAAGAGGGTTGACTGCTACTACCCATCCCAGTGACTTCTTGGTGGTGGATGGTACCAGCTGTAAGATACAACAGCTGCTGTTACTGCTGTTACGGGAACAGTAACTGCTGTTTACACGTACAGTAGCTGCTGTTTGCAGGTACAGTAGCTGCTGTTTACAAGTACAGTAGCTGCTGTTTACACGTACAGTAGCTGCTGTTTGCAGGTACAGTAGCTGCTCTTTACAAGTACAGTAGCTGCTGTTACTACTGTGACAGGTACAGTAGCTACTGTTACTGCTGTGACAGGTACAGTAGCTGCTGTTTATACGTACAGTAGCTGCTGTTACTACTGTGACAGGTACAGTAGCTGCTGTTTACACGTACAGTAGCTGCTGTTTACAAGTACAGTAACTGCTGTTTACAAGTACAGTAACTGCTGTTTACAAGTACAGTAACTGCTGTTTACACGTACAATAGCTGCTGTTTACAGGTACAGTAGCTACTGTGATAGGTACAGTAACTGCTGTTTACAAGTACAGTAGCTGCTGTTACTGCTGTGACAGGTACATTTTTGGAGGGAAATTTTCAAGATTTTTTTTACTGTTTCAAGATTTTTAATTAAAACTTTGATTTTAAAATTGTTAAGTAGAGAAGATATATCAAGATTTTCATGGTAAGGGAGAACCAACATATTCTGTCCTTTTTTGAATCGTAAAACGTATTTTTACTAGTTTTAAGGGATTTATCAATTAAGTATTTTGGGTATTTTATATCATTAGGTATTAAACCCAAAAATGTTGATAGTTGTCTACAAGTTTCCTTGTATAAAATGTGATAAAGTTTACTATGGCCAAACTGGAAAAAGTCTTCAACTAAGATTACATTAACATAAATATAACATTAGAACTGTCCAAGAGTCTAATGCTCTGTTTATTCAAACCATCATTATCATTATTATTATTGTAATTATTAACCACCCAATTCATTTTCAAAAGACTGAGAAAGTTGTATCAAGCAGATCTATGGTTGAGAGAAATACAACTGAATCAAGATTCATAAAAAATAGTATTGATTTTAATATGAATAATAATTTAGGGTTATATAAATTAGATTCATGTTCAAATTTATTGAATCCAAGAAATTCCACCGATTGGATTCGTTTGTAAATAAGATGATGCAGCAGTCGCTGGGGCCCTTAACATCCCCCCAAACAACACATACCAACTTGGAAATTATAAGATTAGATATACTAATTGACAGTTTCACATTTAAGAATGAATTAGGTAGGTTTAAATCGTTAGAAACTAATATAAAAAAATAATAATGTATCCATACACATTAATACAGGTTAATATTAGGTTATATTAGATAATAAGAATAGAGTTAATGTTAACTAGCAATGCCATCCTTAAACTGAGACAGGACCGTGGTCTGATAGAAGTAGATTCCTTCTTCTTGGACGAGCACTGGTGGTGACAACAACACATTAGGAACTATTGAGCTCAGTGTCGCTCAAATGCCGCCTGGATCAGAGAGACCTTCTTTCAACTGTGGATATTCGTCTCTTCCCATGTCCCCTTAGTAAGATAATGCTCAGCATTTCTCGGATATTTGGAGAAATGTAGAGAATTCGACCTTTGGGTTACGATGCGGGCGGAAGCCCAACACAGACTATCCCACTGAAGTTAGTATCCCACTGTCTACATGAATACTGAATACGGAATTCCAGTTGAATTCAGAGAACCTCAAGGTGCAGGCTGAGGATACTAATACCAGGTGTAGGAGAGTAAAGCAGTTAATGAGAGGTAGCTAGTGTGGACACGCGGTTCCCCACATAGGCACACACACACATACACACAAGACCGCAGACAGAGTATAGGCCAGGTGGACAAAGACTACAGACCTCACTCAGGAAGAAAGATCTTGGGGTGGCCATAGCACGTCACCGGAGGCACACATCAATCAAATAACTGCTGCAGCATACGGGCGCCTGACAAACCTGAGAATAGCGTTCCGACACCTTAATAAGGAATCGTTCAAGACACTGTACACTGTGTATGTTAGGCCCTACTGGAGTATGCAGCACCAGTTTGGAACCCACACCTGGTCAAGCACGTCAAGAAATTAGAGAAAGTACAAAGGTTTGCAACAAGGCTAGTTCCAGAGGTCAGGGGAATGTCGTAAGAGGAAAGGCTGCAGGAAATCGGACTGACGACACTGGAGGACAGAAGGGTCAGGGGAGACATGATAACGACATACAAGATACTGCGGGGAATAGACAAGGTGGACTGAGACAGGATGTTCCAGAGAGGGGACACAGAAACAAGAGGTCACAATTGGAAGCTGAAGACTCAGACGAGTCAAAAGGACGTTAGAAAGTATTTCTTCAGTCATAGAGTCGTCAGGAAGTGGAATAGCCTAGCAAGTGAAGTAATGGAGGCAGGAACCATACATAGTTTTAAGAAGAGGTATGACAAAGCTCAGGAAGCAGAGAGGGAGAGGACCTAGTAGCGATCAGTGAAGAGGCGGGGCCACTGCAACCACAATTAGGTGAGTACAATTAGGTGAGTACAGTAGGTGAGGCCTAGAGCTACAGAATTGAACGTAATTTTAACCACACAAGACAGTGCACAGTGGGAACCAAGCGATCGGGTACATATGTAGTACATACGTGGAAAATGACTCGCTTACATAACACACACACACACACACACACACATCGCCGCAAGGCGATGAAGAGATGCCGAAAGGCACATGTAGACGGGGCCAGGAGCTTGGGATCGACCCCTGCAACCTCAACTAGGTGAGTACAGGAACAATTGGTCAGGCACTTGTAAAAGCTGTAGTACACATGCACACACACACACATACACAGGATTTCACACCTTCCTGTAAACTGACCTGATAACCCTCCCTCCCTCCCTCTAACACTACACTATTCACTATCCCCCTCTCTCTCTTTCTCTCTCTCTCTCTCTCTTTCTCTCTCTCTTTTTATTTATTTTTTTTTTACACAGGGTTTGACAAGGTTAGGTTAAGGATCCCTAGCTTTTTTGACAAGCTATTTACAGGGTAAGGATTCCTAACTTTATTGGCAAGCTAAGAGGTGTTACCTACATCAGCTCATTTGAAAGCATTTTTATTGTTATGAGACATACAAGTAGGGAGGAGGATGAAGTTGGAGCCATCTGTGGACCAGCATTTTCATTTGATCAACTGACTTTATCTCGTTGACATCATTATGCTGTACTAATGTGTTCCATACTCGAGTCATCCTGGGTATATATGATCTCAGATGGAGTGATGTTCTGGAGAAGGGTACAGCCAGAGTGAAGTTGCTGCTTTCTGCCCGTCTTGTGGTATAAAAGCTCGTTTCACGCTGTCCTCGAAGTGGATCCAAGTGTGGTACTTTGACAATATTGGCCTTGTACATAACAGTAAGGCCACCCACATCCCTCCTGTGTTGAAGGCTCTGCTGAAATGACAGGTCTATCCAGGATGGGTCCAGGCGAGAGATGAGACGTCTTGCTCTGTTCTCTACTCTGTCAAGCAGTCGCAGATGAGAGGGGGGGGGGCAGGCAAACCAAGAAAGTGGAGCATACTCAAGGTGTGAGCATACTTGTGCCTCGTACAGAATCTTGCAATCTTGCTAGTAAATGCTGCTTATTCTAATTCTGGTAGCTCCAGGAGAGTGACCCCCAGTTTCCAGCTAGAGACTGGTACTGTTGACACCATGCAACTCAACTAGGTGAATATTACGTGCGGCTGGCAGTGGTGCTGAAGTGTCACGTTGCCGGTCCGTCCAGTACCTGGGTCCCACCTAGTTGTGGAAGATGCTTGATGCTTCTCGGTAAATTTTTTCCACTACCTTCCTGTAGGCACTGTAGTCACTAGCTCATCTAACTTTTTCACTGCACTCACTGTATTTACTGACATATCTATACTTATCTCTTATCTCCCTGGTCTTGAGTCGCACTTATTCTTCAAACACTCCACTATGTAATGTGTGGCACCACTATTTAGGCCTCGTACACAATCGTTCCCCTTCCTTGATCCAGGCTGGCACTTAACACTTGGCACTATTATCTATGTTTTCTCTTCTGTGATCACTTATATTTCCTTTTTGCGGGGTTTAAGTGATTATATGCACTCTTATGCTTGCACACGCATATATCCCACACTCTAATCCTTATGGTAAAGTCAGAAACTACAGCCAATTACGAATTCAATCGCGAGCGACTGCTCCACTCCACTGTGTGTGTGTACTCACCTATTTGTGGTTACAGGGGTCGAGTCTTAGCTCCTGGCCCCGCCTCTTCACTGGTTGCTACTGGGTCCTCTGTCTCCCTGCTCCATGAGCTTTATCAAACCTCGTCTTAAAACTATGTATGTATATGTGTGTGTGTGTGTGTGTGTGTGTGTGTGTGTGTGTGTGTGTGTACTTACCTCTTCGTGTAGGTAGGGCCACATACCCAGGGTAGAGGACATACCTACAGCAATCACAAAGACTATGCAGTATGATATATAGTGTGAGCGGTGACGATCCCGTCTCTGACTCGCTGTCTCGACAAACCTGCCCACCGCTGCTTGATATGACGGGGGACCATCCCTGAAATATACCAGAGATCAGGGTGATAATGGGTGCCCTTAGGCCTAGCTATACCCAGGATTCTGCCCCACAATAGTCAACTAACACCCAGGTACCTATTTACTGCTAGGTGAACTGTGACAGCAACAGAAAGTGTTAGGAACATTGTCAAGAAACTACTGTGTCATCTACGTCAATGACTCATCTCAGCCAGAGTACAAACACAATCGTTACCCATAACTTGAGTGTCTCAGATGTGGGTAATGATTGTGAACGAGGACTCTGACCTCTGAGTCCTGGTTTATTCAACATCTGTGATAATAACACAACCCAGCCACTAATCCATCATGCTGCCGAACAGAGCAGACAAGTCGAGCCAAAAAAAAAAACACTTAATAAACCACCTGCTCAATTTCCGACAGGCCCCGACACATCAAAAAAACACCTAAATAGGATAATAATACATCAGATAATCAAATGTCCGATCACATCCCCCGTCACTGACATCCATATCCTAAATGCTGCTACTCCAGGATAAAATTATCCACAGTTTGTAAGGCTTTCGCGGTGTCCAGTCAGCAGACAGCCTCAAATAGTCAGTAGACAGCTTCAAACAGTCAGTAGACAGCCTCAAACGGTCAGTAGACAGCCTCAAACTCTCAGTATACAGCCTCAAACAGTCAATAGACAGCTTCAATAATCAGTAGACAGTCTCAAACAGTCAGTAGACAGTCTCAAACAGAGAGTAGACAGCCTCAAACAGATAGTAGACAGCCTCAAACAGACAGTAGACAGCTTCAAACAGTCAGAAGACAGCTTCAAATAGTCAGTAGACAGCCTCAAACAGTCAGTAGACAGCCTCAAACAGATAGTAGACAGCCTCAAACAGACAGTAGACAGCTTCAAATAGTCAGTAGACAGCCTCAAACAGTCAGTAGACAGCCTCAAACAGTCAGTAGACAGCCACAAACAAATTATGAACAGATGATTCAACACCAGTTTGAGACATTCAAGGAGTACCTAGTTGACGCAGGACTTATCAGAGACCTATTTCGGCACATAGCACCTAGAGAATCCAGTACCTGCTTCCTAGACAATCCAGAACCTGATTCCTAGAGGATCCAGTACTTACTTCCTAGAGGATCCAGTACCTGCTTCCCAGATAATATAGTACCTGCTTCCTAAAGGATCCAGTACCTGGTTCGTAGAGGATTAAGTACCTTGTTCCTAGAGGATCCTGTACCTGGTTCCTAGAGGATCCTGTATCTGATTTCTTGAAGGTATAGTTCCTTCTTCCTAGAGGATCCAGTACCTGCTTCCTAGAGTATCTGGTACCTGCTTCCTAGAGAATCCCGTACCTACTTCCTAGAGTGTCTAGCACCTGCTACCTAGACAATCTGGTATTTACCTTCAACAGAACTTAATTTCTACCAAGGACATAATGCAGTACCTACCTTCCACTGATGGTAGAGATGGTTGAGTGTCCTAACGACCTTTCCTTCAAGTCCTTAAGGGGTACATCATCCATAGTGTGGTCCACCAAGTAGGACTTCCGTCTTCCGAAGATGCTACTCATCCTGTGTCCCAAGTGTTGCTAGGTACCTGTGTCCTAGGTATTTCTAGGTACCTGTGTCCTAGGTGTTGCTAGGTACCTGTGTCCCAGGTGTTGCTAGGTATCTGTGTTCCAGGTGTTGCTAGGTACCTGTGCCCCAGGTGTTGCTAGATACCTGAGTTCTAGGTGTTTCTAGGTACCTGAGTTCTCAGAGTTGATAGGTACCTGAGTCCTAGGTGTTGATAGGTACCAGTGTCCTAGGTGTTGCAAGGTACCTGTGCCCAAGGTGTTGCTAGGTACCTGAGTTCTAGGAGTTACAAGGTACCTGAGTCCTAGGTGTTGATAGGTGCCTGAGTCCTAGGTGTTGTTAGGTACCTGAGTCCTAGGTGTTGCTAGGTACCTGAGTCCAAGGTGTTTCAAGGTACTTGAGTTCTAGGATTTGCTAGGTACCTGTGTTCTAGGTGTTGCTGAGTACCTATGTCCTAGCTTTTGCTAGGTAAATGAGTTCTAGGTGTTGCTAGGCACCTGAGTCATAGGTGCTGCTAGGTATCCGAGTCTTAGGTGATGCTAAGTACCTATGCCTTAGTTGTTGCTAGGTAAATGAGTCCTAGTTGTTTGCTAGGTACCTGTGTTCTAGGTGTTGTTGGATACATGAGTCTTAGCTGTTGCTAGGTACCTGAGTCTTAGGTGTTGCTAGGTAATTGAGTTGGACGGGTTGCTATGTACCTGTGTTCTAGGTGTTGCTAGGTACCTGTGTCCAAGGTGTTGCTAGGTACCTGAGTTCGAGGAGTTGCTATGTACCTGTGTTCAAGGTGTTTCTAGGTACCTGAGTTCTAGGTGTTTCTAGGTACCTGAGTCTTAGGTGACGCTAGGTACATAAGTCTTAGCTGTTGATAGGTACCTGTGACATAGTTGTTGCTAGGTACCTGAGTCCTAGGTGTTGCGAGGTACCTGCGTCCTAGGTGCTGCTAGGCACCTGAGTCTTAGGTGTTGCTAGGCACCTGAGTCCTAGGTATTGCTAGGTACCTGAGTCCTAGGTGTTGCGAGGTACCTGTGTCCTAGGTGCTGCTAGGCACCTGAGTCCTAGGTGCTGCTAGGCACCTGAGTCCTAATTGTTGCTAGGTACCTGAGTCCTAGGTGTTGCGAGGTACCTGCGTCCTAGGTGCTGCTACGCACCTGAGTCCTAGGTGTTGCTAGGCACCTGAGCCCTAGGTGTTGCTAGGCACCTGAGTCCTAGGTGTTGCTAGGCACCTGAGTCCTAGGTGTTTCTAGGTAACTGTGTCCTAGGTGTTGCTAGGTACCTGAGTTCGAGAAGTTGCTATGTACCTGTGTTCTAGGTGTTTCTAGGTACCTGAGTCCTAGGTGTTTCTAGGTACCTGAGCCTTAGGTGATGCTAGGTACATGAGTCTTAGCTGTTGCTAGGTACCTGTGACATAGTTGTTGCTAGGTACCTAAGTCTTAGGTGTTGCGAGGTACCTACGTACTAGGTGCTGCTAGGCACCTGAGTCCTAGGTGTTGCTAGGTATTTGAGTCCTAGGTGTTGCTAGGCACCTGAGTCCTAGGTGTTGCTAGGCACCTGAGTCCTAGGTGTTGCTAGGCACCTGAGTCCTAGGTGTTGCTAGGCACCTGAGTCCTAGGTGTTGCTAGGTACCTGTGTTCTAGGTGTTGCGAGGCACCTGCGTCCTAGGTGCTGCTAGGCACCTGAGTCCTAGGTGTTGCTAGGCACCTGAGTCCTAGGTGTTGCTAGGCACCTGAGTTCTAGGTGTTGCTAGGTACCGGAGTCCTAGGTGTTGCTAGGCACCTGAGTCCTAGGTGTTGATAGGAACCGGAGTCCTAGGTGTTGCTAGGCACCTGAGTCCTAGGTGTTGGTAGGCACCTGAGTCCTAGGTGTTGCTAGGTACCGGAGTCCTAGGTGTTGCTAGGCACCTGAGTCCTAGGTGTTGCTAGGCACCTGAGTCCTAGGTGTTGCTAGGTACCGGAGTCCTAGGTGTTGCTAGGCACCTGAGTCCTAGGTGTTGATAGGAACCGGAGTCCTAGGTGTTGCTAGGCACCTGAGTCCTAGGTGTTGCTAGGCACCTGAGTTCTAGGTGTTGCTAGGTACCGGAGTCCTAGGTGTTGCTAGGCACCTGAGTCCTAGGTGTTGATAGGAACCGGAGTCCTAGGTGTTGCTAGGCACCTGAGTCCTAGGTGTTGCTAGGCACCTGAGTCCTAGGTGTTGCTAGGTACCGGAGTCCTAGGTGTTGCTAGGCACCTGAGTCCTAGGTGTTGATAGGAACCGGTAGTAAGACCCGGTCCTAGGTGTTGCTAGGCACCTGAGTCCTAGGTGTTGCAAGGTACCGGAGACCTAGGAATTGTGGAGTACATGTTCTCTCAGTGTTCTCTCAGTGATGTTCAATGTTCTCTCAGTGTTCAGCAGAACATTTGTAGATGTTACTCATGTTGTTCTTTATAAAAGCACCTGCAAGAAAAAATATATATATATATATATATATATATATATATATATATATATATATATATATATATATAATATATATATATATATATATACAAAAAAAAAGGTAAAATTGGTCAATTATCAAGAACTTTAAAATTAAATTTTCTAAAAATTTCTCTTATACGTTTAAAGATATATTTTTTAATTTATGTTAATGTAAAAATTAATAATTTTGTACCAAACGAACCTTAGAAAACTTACCTGACCTTATTATAACAAGCGCAATTTAATTTAGACTAATCAAACTAAATATATTTTAGATAAGTTTATAATAATTTAATAATAAACAAACACAATGAAAAAAAAAATTGTTTAGGTTCAGAATGATTTTTGCGGAATTATTATACACAGAAATTTTCGCTTCTCTTATTCGGCAAGAAGAACGTTGATATTTAAGACAAAAATGGCAAGTTTTACCTATTTGGCACGACATATATATTATGCAAGAATCGCGAACAACCATTACAAGATGAATAACAACCACGATGGCAGTTGAATAATAGCTCTTGGTCTTTCTTGTTGCAATCAACACATCATCAGGAGCTTCCAAAGTTGCTGAGTGTGTGTGTGTGTGTGTGTGTGTGTGTGTGTGTGTGTGTGTGTGTGTGTGTGTGTGTGTGTGTGTGTGTGAGTGTACTCACCTATTTGTACTCACCTATTTGTGGTTGCAGGGGTCGAGTCACAGCTCCTGGCCCCGCCTCTTCGCTGATTGCTACTAGGTCCTCTCTCTCCCTGTCCCATGAGCTCTATCATACCTCGCCTTAAAACTATGTATGGTTCCTGCCTCCACCACATCACTTTCTAGGCTATTCCATGGCCTGACCACTCTATGACTGAAGAAATACTTCCTAACATCCCTTTGATTCATCTGAGTCTTCAACTTCCAATTGTGACCTCTTGTGTCTGTGTCCCATCTCTGGAACATCCCGTCTTTGTCCACCTCGTCTATTCCGTGCAGTATTTTATATGTCG